GGCAAACGGTTGCTGAAAACAATTCTCCACTTGTTACCCGGAGGTTGTTCCACGAAACGAAGGGAGTACGGAACTCTTGTCACCAATGTAAAATTATGATAAATGATTGTTATAAATCAGATACAAAGGCAGCATACAATAAGTCGAAGGGGGCCGCATAAAACAAAGTTTCAGAAATATTTCTAACTGGGAATAATAAGGCTACGTGGGCACATCATGTCAGTTTCCTCCATACCATCGTGGTCAACGAAAATGATTGCTGAAGCTTCTTTTTATATTCAAGGTTCCATGGAAGTTGGGACTTTCCTTTTCAGAGCTACCTACGTAGGCAATGCCAGAGGTATAAAAACACCTGAAACGTTAAAAAGAAGTTGAATTCATTTGGTAAGTAACTCCAAGTACTGCGCTGTCAGATGGTTTGTTTGTAGACAGTGCTTGAGGCTGTCGCTGTTCGAAGTTTGTTTACCTCTTCATAAATTTGCATCAGGGTTTCCCAACCTTTTTTTATAAAATTATATTTTCATGCCCGCCTTTACTTTTTCAATAAATACAAAAAACGCACATTATATAGTTAGAAAGACTTTTATTTTTATTCTAATAAAGAAACTTTAACAGTTTAAATAAACTAATTAATGTTTCTTTTATCGAAAAACTTGAATAAAATAAGAGTAGGTACTAACGAGACACTTGAGATGGCATGTTATACACCAGTTGGTTGATTCTAGGTTCTGTTTTTGCCAGAGCTATCATGAGGTCGCTACCGACATGAAGACGATTTCTCTGTTTAATTTTAATTAAAGCTAGAGCAGAAAAGCCTGTCTCACATAAGAAAGTTGAAGAAAAAGGAAATAGTATTCGTAAAGCAAGAGAGGCAAGTGTCCAGTTATCAATCAGGCAATCTCTTGATCCAAAATTTCTCAATGTTAAAAGATGGAAGGCATCTTTCATGGACGAATCAGCCTTCATTTCTAGTAATTCTTCCTTAGCTTCTTCTGGCAATTGTGACACATCGACAACAAATTAACGATGTCGGTGGATTTATCGCAACTAATGGCAAAAAATGGCGATAATTTTTCTTTATTAATTATTGGTGACTTTATGTCTGCTGCAATGTCATCGATCCTACGCTTGACTGTGTTATTCGAAAGAGTAAACAGGCTTCAATTTTTGCTCTGCATCTTCTCCTAAAATTATCTGCGTGGCTTTTAGGACACAGGGTCTTACTAATTCTTCACGGATAGTATAAGATTTTTTCTGCTTTGCTATCATAAAAGCTATTTCAAATGAAGCTTTGAGATGCTGCGGTACACCTGTGTGATAACTTCCCGATTTAGCCAGTCTCATCCGCTTGAGTGATTCTGCTTTAGAAGAAAAAAACTCTTTCATCTTCAAAACCAGAGTAGGATGTTGTTGCTTCAAATGCCTTTCAAGGCGATTGAGCCTCATGCTATCATTACTTAAAAGTTTCATACATATCCACTGAGGCAATTGTAACTCGTGTTTTCTATGAAGGTGAATCCAAACTTAACGTAATCTTCGGAAAACTCTCTTTTCTTCGCTGTCATTTTGCACCTATAACAATAAAACAAATAAGCAATAACTAAATAAGCAAAATACCTACATGTACGAGGGATGTTTTTTAAGTTTTGCATATAGAAACATAGTAGGGCACGCGAATCAAACGTCAGTACTGAATCTTAACCTCACCCTTTAGTAAACTTAAATTAAAAGTTTCACAACAATACGTGCAGTGTTCTCACTACAGTGAATTTTTAAGTGTTACCAAGTCATTAGAAAAATGGAACTCAACCGAGAACATTTTCGCGCCATAATTTATTACAACTTTCAGAGACAAGCAACAAGAATGCCTTGCTGAGTTACTGTCTGTTTTCGGCAACGAAGCGCCACATCAGTCGACAATTTCCCGTTGGTATGGAGAATTGAAACGTGGATGGGTGAGTCTTAGCGACGATCCCAGGGTGGATGCACCAAAAACGGCAGTCACCCAGGAAAACGTCGATGCTGTGCGCAAACTCATCATTGAAGATAGACATGTGACATATCGCGAGATTGAGGCGTCCTTGAAGATCTCAAAGACCTCAATTTGAAAAATTTTACATGAAGAATTAGGAGTAAGAAAATTAGTTTCCCGTTGGATACCCCACCTGTTGACTGAAGAGCAGAAAGCAGCCAGGGTTAATTGGTGTCAAAAAACACTTGACCGTTTCAATTCCGGAAGCTCAAAAAATGTGTACAGCATTGTTAGTGGTGATAAATCGTGGATTTACTGTTATGAACCAGAAAATAAACGACAGTTGGCTGTTTGGGTGTTCCAAGTTGAAGAAAAGCCCACAAAAGTCATCCGTTCTCGAAGTGCTTCGAAAAGGATGGTCGCGACATTTGTATCAGAAGCTGGTGATATTGCAACAATTCCTCTTAATGAGCAAAGAACTGTTACTGCGGATCGGTATACCACCATTTGTTTGTCAAGGTTCGAAAAATCTACTCCAAAAGAAGAATCATCCTCCACCAAGACAATGCAAGCTCGCACACAGCCCAAAAAGCAAGTATTTAACGGAAGAAAACGTGGAATTATTGGACCATCCTCCATATAGTCCTGATCTAAGTCATAACGATTTCCTTACTTTCCAGAAGATTAAAAACAGACTGTACGGTCAAAGGTTCCAGTCACCAGAACATGCAGTTGACGCATTAAAAAATGCCGTTTTGGATCTGCCAGCAATAGAGTGGAATAAGTGCTTCGAAAATTGGTTCGAGCGCATGCAGATGTGTATTAATCTACGTGGAGAATACTTCGAAAAACGGTAGTCATTTAAAATTACCTACCGTGTTGTTTTATTTCCATATGCAAAACTTAAAAGACATCCCTCGTAATTACTAATTATATGCCCATTATTTTATCTTAATAACGTAATGTAGTCAGCAGTATATTGGGCACCGGGAGATTTATATTTTTGTAGGCAGGTTGTCGTTATAATAGTAATTTTAAATACATTTGGAATCAATATTAGGTGCTTGAAGTTCGTCGTTTCAAAATTATTTCGCCACGTTGGTTTGATTGTGATGTAAAAAAGGTCCTAATGACCGATCTATGAACAATTTAGTAAATTAAATAAAAATGGTAACTGAAGATTGTAAATACATAAACTTACCTTTTACAGTGAGACACAATAATTTGACACACTCAAACAGATTTCTCAACCAAACTTGTACATGGAAACGTCAAATTTCTCGCAAGTTTGTGGGAATGAATGTCACAGATGCTCATCCGCTTCTGGTAGGTACACAATTGTCTTCTAAGTGATGAATGTTCAGCGGAGCGTGGCGGAGGTGAGCCCGGATTTCATGTTGTGACTTGTCGAAGCTTGTATAAACTGCGTTTGACGACGCCAGGTTTTGAAAGAGCGGTTGACAGAATAAGCGAATATGATATCTAATTTCTAATTTTACGCGTGTTAATTAAACATTACATTGTTATATTATTTGTTAAAGTTGTTTGTTTACCTGTTCTGTTTTTTCTTTCAAAAATGCAAACGCTTTCCGCCCCTTTGACATCTCTCTATGCCCCCCTTGGGAGGCGTGCCCCGCTGGCTGGGAACTCCTGGTCTAGATGCTCATATCAAGATGATAACTGAGTTATTGTTACAGAAATGTGCCAATTTCGGCTTGCTTTTAAGCTAGGTTAATCTAGACACCACGAGACGCCTGATTTGGATACTGACTCACATAGCCTTAGTACAACATCGTACGTTTTGACGTAGAAGGGGGTTGTGGGAATGAAGGATGACAAGGTCGTACTGACTCATGTATTGCTTTTTGGAAGCAAATTTCTCGGTTACTTTAAAGCTTTGGTATATACACTGAGAAACAAATTTGTCTGCCGGCATGGTTAAATGTGTAAGAAAGAGAGAGAGATAGAGAGGCGTGTATAGATGCATATGTTAGAAAAAAGATAGAAGCGAAGCTCATCACCACGTTGTCTAGCAACGCTGACGCGGCAATCTGCCGCGTTGCCAATGTGTTGCACCAATTCCTTGAATTGAGAGGCATGTTAAATATGCGTTAGTTTATTCTTTACGTCGACATAAAGGTTTTATCTTGAGAGTACTCATTCTTTAATTGTGTCGAATCTGTTTGGGATCGATTCCACCTCCATTATCAGTTGTGGTCAGTACCCATCTAGCGCTCATTGGGGAGTGTCGTCCTGCTTCGAAATGATCTTCACATGTGTACAATCAGGCAGTGATAATTTGTATTTCGTAATGGCATTTGTTACATTTTCTGACCGCTAGCTGTCGCCAAAAGGTAATTTCATCATCATCGGTGGAAACCAAAGATAGTTCTGAAATAAAGTGAAACACTAAGCCGCATCAAAATTAAAGTAAATAGTTCTAATCAAAATATTGAATTAAATATTCGAATAGACCTCCTTCTCCTTCCCCTTCCGGCAGATTGCACGACCTCCACATCACCGTCGATGAGCAATGTGCTCTTCAGCCGGCTTCTATCTCCTTCTAACATGTGTTGTTACACACTTCTCGCAACTTCCCTCTCGCACACATTGAACTCAAGCCGTCAGACAAATCTGGTCTTACCTGAATATTGCTAAAAGTACATACTTATTATTGCATGACCTAGTATGCTCTGTAAGGGAAGGTCCTAACTTTGAGGACACCCTGTATATTTGTTCTTACAGCTTGCCGTCATTCCACTTTTATACTCCTAAATACTCAATTTCCCAGTTTACTACAAATCAAAATTGCGGAAAATAGCCCAATTAATAGCTTACCTGTTTATTGTTCTCCAACCGGCGATAAAATTTTATTGCTCATTTGGCTTAGTTTTCAAAAATACGATTCTGTTCACCACGTGAATTAGTATACTCAGGTTTATTTGATAAAGGTAGCAATAACATTTCATTGTTTTGAAATACTACAAAGCGGAAATCCATTGTACTATTACTATTAATAAATTGTGAAAATAGCGAATCTTTTCTTTGCGTAAATACGACTCACACGTCAACACGTCATCGTTTCAAAATGTTTCGTCACATAATTCTAGGCGAACATTTGTTCAAATCTTTTAATAGACGATGAAATGCTCAGAAATATGATTTGTATTTTGTTCCACATCGTGAATGTGGCGAGGGCTCGCAATTCCTAGGAAAGAGAATGGGAAATATTTTGGAAATCGTGTTTCTCTGGACCTTACTGCAGAAGAATTTAATTGGTAAGTGGTGTCCACCCTCTCAAAACATTGAACGTATTTGAGACTGAGATGGCGAGCGCATTTTGGTAATAACAGTATAACAGATCATTCTTTCATACAATCTCACTTCATACTGCTCTAGGAGGTAAGAAATTTACATTGAAATTCCGAGATAATTACTGATACTCTAGCTCTTCAGTTCAATTTTTTCCCAACGCCTCCACTGATTTTTTTCCGCATTCCACCTTCATTTTGGCACCCTGAAAAGTCGTTGTTGACTCCAAATTAGCACCTGGAGTATTAGATTAATCTCTTTTGTGCAGCGCTCTTAGTAAAGGCGGTAGCAGGACCTGCCATGCATTTTAAAACCTTTTTTTGCGGAAAGCTAATGTGCTGCTGGAATAGGGTTATCCGTTCTATCACTACCACTCTAGCTTAATTTGAGTTTAAATGTCTGGTGTTTTAAAGCTACGTCTAGTAGTTGCAGGAAAAATTAACACGGGATAGAATCATTGAAAGTGTATCTAATATTCTACAGTTAAAGTAGGGTCCGACTCCAATCCGCAGCTTAGGTGTCGGCGGGTGTGAAGTTAGTAGTGGATCAACGGAAGTCAGGTGATAGAGGGCCTCAAAGCCTATCGAATGTGTGGTCCGAAATTTTATAGTTCAGGAGATATTTGCAATTCTGTGAAATTCCAAAAAAAAAAACGGGATAATGAACTTTCAATCGCAATTACGACTAAACCATTAGGCTTGGGGATGTGTTTTGTTATATTAGCCAAATGGTTAGCTTTAGCAATGGTTATGTCACTTTTTAACAGAGCTAATTAGAAACCAACGCAAGAAATCTTAATTTCATTTTTTTGTAAAAAATCTCTTCCATCCCTCAACTTTGGATGGCGGTAACAAAATTAAGGTTGTATTTCATTGTACATTTTATTGTAAAAACTATTTCAATCCATTTAGAATAAACCCTGAAAATTTCCGCTTTGTAAGATAAGTGCCTCACCTTAAAAAACCTGTATGTATGACGCAGGTGGGTATCTATACATATAAATAAGAAAATCAATCTATTTTACGAGCTACAGTCCAAACAATTTGATGGATTTTGAGATATGAGGTACTGCTACATTCGTCCTAGCAGTGCGAGTAATCCTGTCCGTATTAACATTTTGTAAAATCAAAATGGCGGATTCTTTACGCAAATAGCCAAATCGGCCCGACCGAAATTACTAAGTTAGGCAATGGTCCAGCGTGGAAGTTGTATCTAACATTTGGCATCTGAGTGTGATCATGTCATATTCTCCGCAAATTAAGCAGAAATGCATTACTATTATGGTGCTGCCCTAGCCAATGCTCGAGCAGCAGCTCGCATGTATCGGGAGTATGCGGTTAGAAGAGGTGGACCACAACTGGCGTTTTTCTACGAGTCTATAATGCGTATATCGAGGGCTACATACTAGGCATTCATCACAAGCTAGGAGCGCCGAGGATACGGCCAGAAGAAATAGAAGATATATAATAGAAGCAGCCGAGAGAGATCCATCTATAAGCACCAGAGCCATTGCTTGAAGCAGAAATATATCGCATACTTCAGTGGACACAATACTACGCTCGGAGAACATGCATCCTTACCATCTACAAGAAGTACAAGAATTGCTTCCAAGCGACTATGCACAACGGGTTGCATTTTGTGAGAATATGTTGACGAGGTGCGAAGAGGATGACACTTTTTCCGCCAGCATCTTATGGACAGATAGATCCAAATTTGACCGAAATGGAATATTCAACATGCACAATTTCCATTGATGGAGCGTGGAAAATCCACACGCAATTTGCTGACACAGTTTCCAGCTTCAGTTCGGCGTTAATTTATGGACTGGAGTATACAACAAAAAATTAATTGGACCTCAGGCATTGCCCGCCAGGTTGAATGGTCAGTTATATCTTGTTTTTCTACAAAGCAGTTTGCATGAGCTGCTAGAGGATGTACCTTTGGACGTTCGAAGCCGCATGTATTTTCAATGCAATGGTACCCCATTCCACTTTTCACGGGATGTACGTCATAACTTAGACAGTGCCTTTCCTGAGCGTTGGATTATGTAGAAGTGGACACATATGATGGCCTCCTGCCCTATCACCCGATCTAAATCATCTAGATTTTTCTATATGACGGTTTCATAAGGGTATAATCTATACATCTGAATATACAAATGTCAACCAACTGCGCCAGAAAATTGATGAAGCAAAGCAAGGACAATTTTATTAGAAGATGTCGCTTGTGTATAGAAAATAATAGGGGCCATTACGAAGATGTTCTTCAAAAGTTAGTTAAATCAAATTATCTTCCACATTTGTCGGTAAATCGCCATAAAGAGCAGCTAAACACAATGGGTACTGTACTTGTAGGTGGTGAAGATTCTATTGCTTACATTTATCATCACGACAACGAATGTGACTTGATATAGTCATCGTAGCACGCTGAAATTTTCAGGGTTTATTCTACATGGATCAAAATAGCTTTTGCAATGAAAGGAATAATAAAATACAACCTCATTTTTTTTACCGCCCTCCAAAGTTGAGGGATGAAAGAGATTTTTCACAAAAAGATGAATTTAAGATTTTTTGCGTTGATTTCTAATAAGCTCTGTTAAAAAGTGATATAACCATTGCTAAAGCCAACCATTTAGCGCATCTCAGAAAGAAAATTATAGCCCTTAACCCAATGGTTTAGTTTTAATTGTGGTTGAAAGTTCATTATCCCGTTTTTTTTGTGGAAATTTCACAAAATTTCAAATATCTCCAGAATTATAAAATTTCGGACCACACATGCGAGGGATGTCTCTTAAGTTTTGCATATGCAAATAAAACAATACGGTAGGTAGTTTTAAATGACTTCATTATTGTTTTTCGAAGTATTCTCCACGAAGATTAATACACATCTGCATGCGCTCGAACCAATTTTGGAAGCATTTATTCTTCTCGTTTGCTGGCAGATCCAAAACGGCATCTTTGAATGCGTCAACTGCTTCTTCTGGTGACTGGAACCTTTGGCCACGCAGTCTGTTTTTAATTTTCGGGAAAGTAATGAAATCGCTAGGACTTATATCGGGACCATATGGAGGATGGTCCAATAATTCCACGTTTTCTTCCGTTAAATACTGCCTTGTTTTTTGGGCTGTGTGCGAGCTTCCATTGTCTCGGTGGAGGATGATTCTTCTTTCGGGGTTGATTTTTCGAAGCTCGGTGATTATTTACTTATCCCAATTTTGATGCAACTAAGTGTCTTAATTTATTTTAGAATCCTCATTGATTTCCACCGATGGTGATAAAATCAACACATCCTGAGTTATTGTTACATTTTGCGACAGCGTTGCGGTCTAAAAATGTAACAAATAACGTTACGCAATATAAATCATCGCTAACCAAGATCGCTCAACAATGACCATGAAGGTGGAAGCCTTGCCTGAGAATGTACAAGATGCCGTGTTATTCCACGAACCAATGATACAATGTTGCAGAATTTAAGGCGATGTTGACCTTTCATTACTACCTAAAATGGAGCGCCGTTACGACCGATCGGGAATCAATCCTTAACAGATTGGACACATTTCACAATTCAAAAATGTGTACGATCAAAATAAAACCATTATTTGGGCGTAAGCAATAAACTAACGCATATTTTCAATATATCAAAGAACTGGTATAACATATTGGCAACGCGACAGATTGCCGCTTCTATCTCTTTCTAACATATGTGCCTATACACACTTCTCTCTGGTGCATATTGAACTCAAGCTCTCAGACAAATTTGGTTCTCAGTGTATACGGTTTACATAACCCCTTTATTGGGTACCTGCCTCCAGAAACAACTGAAACCCGACGGTGATCACTTTTATATTGTATGACGTCAGTTACTGACGTAGTTTTATGTGGCTGAATATTATTATTACGCAACTGAGATGGGTTAAACATATTATCCTGGCTAAATGTTTGTCTGTCTAGCGACATGCACGCATCGATGCACCTACGTAAATTCCATCCTCCATTGCAGGCACATCCAGCTGCAAGTTTAATTGAAAGTCAATCAGCTGCAATCCACACCTAGGCTGCAGCTGAGCTTCTGATGCATGTTAGATTTGAATCTGATCGACTGTTCCACAAAACGCAAAGCAGGAGCTTAGACGAGGAATCTAGTTGAAACGTCGTCTCGACAACATTAGCATTAAGTGCTTGTCGCACAAGCCCGCGCCACTGCTACATAGCGTGGAGCTGTTGTAGTTCCTCGTGCTCTAAGCACTACAGTCTGATCTAAAATATGATCAGTATACAAAATAAAAACCAAATTTTCTTTCTGCGAAAGTGCATAACCCAGACATGCAACCAAAGGTTCTATACACAGAAGAATGGAAAGAAAAATAATTTCTACACTGTGCTGACTCTACGACACTACTCGTATTACCACATTGTGTAATCGAGTATTTTATTATTCATGAACTGTATGTTTTGAGCAATTTTGAGGTTCATTCCTTCTGGAGACTCGGCTTAAACGTTTAACATATATATTTTAGAATTTTTATTTTAGGAACTATACTTATAAAGGGTGATATTTTAAGAGGTATAGGATTTGATTTTCAAAAAAAAACACAAAAAATTTGAAAAAACCATTAAATCTTTATTTGTGTCGATAGAACGGTCGATATAATTTAATGTTTAAAGATTATTTCATGTAAATGTTGGCCGCGGCTCCGCTTTAGATGGCCCATGCGCAAGGTCCAATTTTGGCACACTCTCTCCAACATATCGGCCGGTATCTCACGAATAAATGCTTCAATATTGGCTTCCAGTGCGTCAATCGTTGCTGGTTTATCCCTGTAGACATTAGCCTTAACATGCCCCCACAAGAAATAGTCTAACGGCGTTAAATCACACGATCTAGGCGGTCAATTGACGGGCCCCAAACGAGAGATAAACTGTTCACCGAACTCGCCTCTCAATAGGGCCATTGTTTCGTGTGCGGTGTGGCATGTGGCACCGTCAGAGTTGAAACCACATGTCAGCCAAGTCCAGCTCTTTCATTTTGGGCAAAAAAAGTTTGTTATCATCGCACGGTAGCGCTCGCCATTCACAGTTACGTTCCGGCCATTGTCGTCTTTGAAGAAGCACGGCCCGATCATGCCACCGGCCCATAATCCACACCAAACAGTGATTTTTTCGGGATGCATTGGTAGCTCTTGCAATGCTTCTGGCTGGTATTCACTCCAGATGAGGCAATTTTGCTTGTTCACGTACCCATTCAACCAGAAATGAGCTTCGTCGCTGAACACAAATTTTCGATAAAAATGTGGATCTTCCTCCAACTTTGCCAGCGACCATTCACCAATGGGAGGTCGTGTGGCTTCAATTCTTGCACCAGCTGTATCTTATAAGGTTTTATACCCAAATCGTGTCGCAAAATTTTCCACGTAGTGGAGTAACGAGGCCCAATTGCTTCGAACGGCGGCGAATCGACATTTCACGGGCATCACTAACACTGGCGGATACAGCCGCAATATTTTCTTCAGGCCTCACTCTTCGTCTGCGTGTTGGAGGTTTAATGTCCAATAATGTAAATTGGGTTCGGAATTTAGTCACAAGCTTCCGAATAGCCCCCTCAGTAGGCCGGCCAGATTGCCCATAAATTGGAAGCAGTGCTCGATGCACTCTCTTAACCGAGCATGAATTTTGATAGTAAAGTTCAATAATTTGCAAGCGTTGTTCGTTCGTAAGTCGGTTAAATTATAGACCAAACTGAACAAGTTTGACAATGACACAAGACACGATTCACGCGTAATCTGTCAAAAACAGTGTTGCCAAAAAGATACTAGCAAAAAAATCACCCATTAGAAACATTTCACGACGTTTACTGGTATACTTTTACTTTTACATAAAAACATTGCCACTGTCCACTCATTATCATGTGTCCTACATGATGGTATTATTGTACTTCCCACGACACTGGAAAGTATTGTATTCGCGCAAGAAATCGAAAATGAGATATCATGTTCTTGTAAGTTGTACATCACGAAACGCCATGTCACTCATCTCCGTCAATCTGTCCGTCTGTCTTTCAGTCGGTCACGTGGAAATTACCGCTCGGATTTTGATGAAACACAAGTTTACTACCATGCCAAAAATGAAAAGCCTCCATAGTTTTCAAAAATCGGCCCAGTGCCGGCAGGGCTATAGAAAAATATAAAGTCGCTCAAACTTCGTTTCTTGTCATTTTAGAAGCTTCTGATCGTTATATGAAAATGTTTTGTATAGTTCGAAGATTGGGGGTTGGGGTTATTAGGTATATGGGACAGAGAATACAAGGTGTTCATTAACGATATACGAATATTTAAGGGTGTGAATCTACATACATGATTAATGTTAGTTTGCTTTATAAAAAGTGGTCCAAAAATGTTTTCTTACAAAACCCGGGGAGTTGAAGTTTTAGTAAAAAAATGGAAATAAATTAATATTTTCAGAACCGCTTCAGATATTTCACTGATATTTAGTACGTAGTGAAAGTTAATTGACTTCGATATTTTTAAGAAAAAAATGGTACACCAATGGTGAATTATTTAAATTGCGGAAATGCATTACGTATATGGCCTTGCCGACGGCAATGGTGAGCAAGCGAGACGGATTTATCACCAGAGATGTCCCGATCGTGCTTTGCCAGATAGAACCTTTTAATATTCATCGTCGTCTTGTTGAAACTGGTTTTGTCCGAAAAGGAACATCTGGAGTTAGACCTTTAAGTGTAAGAACACCTGAAATTGATTAAGCAGTGCTGCACGAAGTCGAAGAACATCCTGAAACGAGTACGAGGAAGATCGGTAGACACTTAAATATTTGCCATCAAATTGTTTGGAGAATTTTAGTGGATTTATTGTTATATCCTTACCATATTTTAAGAGTACAGGCATTACTTCTTATTCATTTTCCAAGGCGTGTGACCTTTTGTAAGCAGTATCTTCAAAAAATTACACAAAATCCGCAATTTGAATCAATGATTCTATTCACGGACGAAGCTTATTTTTCTTGAAATGCCATTCAGAATTTCAGTAAATCCCTATGCCGTAACCGAAACCCACTTCCAACACCAATTTTCGGTATAATGCATGGGCAAGAATTATTGGCAACCACTTTATTGGCCCATTCTTCTTGCCGGGACGACTTGACGGACAGACTTACCTCAATTTTCTTCAACAACAGTTGCCTTTGCTGCTTGACGATGTTCCGTTAGTAATAAGAAACAATTAGTGATACATGCATGATGGTGCACCAGCGCATTTAAGTGTAGCGGTTCGTAATTATTTACAAACTGTTTATCCAAATCGCTGGATTGGCCGCGGTGGGCCCCAAGAATGACCACCACGGTCCCCAGACCTCAACAGTTTAGATTTCTTTTAGTGGGGCTATCTTAAGACACTAGTGTATACAAGTCCCATTAACACTGTAGAGGAATTAAGAGAGAGTAGTTGCAGCTTGTGATAGAATAAAAAACACTACAGGGATATTTCAACAAGTACGCAATTCCAAGAGAAGGAGGGCGGAAGCATGCATACTAAGTGAAGGGGGCCAATTTCAACAATTTTTGTAATCATTTCGTTGGTTTTAATGTCATGTTTATATTGTCAGTTGTTGTTGTTCATTACCTACGTTTAATTTTTCCAATTAAATTAATAATAATTCTGCATGTTAGAACACAATAGAACGGTTATTATTTTTTTACTCAAAAATGGAGCATCGAAGGAAAGAAATTCAGGAAAGATAATTTATTTTAAATTGAACGAGGAAGTTAAAAATAATTTTTGCTTGGCAAAAAACCATTCGCCTACCATTTTTTTCTTTAAAAATGTCGAAGTGATAACCCGTACGCACGCCACTGTTAAAACAAAACATTATTTTTGCATTGAAAAATATTCGACTTCATTAACTAAAACTTCAACACTTCGAGTGTTTGTAAGGAAACATTTTTGGACCATAGTTTATGACGCGAACTAACATTAATTTTTCATATAGATTCCCACCCTCAAATATTCGCATACTATTAAGGAACACCCATATATCTCAATTATTCGACATACGATTATAGGTACCCCAATAATTCTACGCACCTATTAGAAATACTTCACATATCATAGGTTTACCTACGTACATTTGCCCTCAAAACTTGAGAATCAGAAGTATTTCCGACACAGGCGTCTCTGTATAAGCCGGCGTCGCGGTCTGACCGATGAGTGGCTGCAATGGCTGACTAGGTCAGTCATAGCAACGTTGCTAGATGGTTGGTAATGTTGGTATGGCACGGCAAATATTTCTAGATCGCAACTTTGTCAAATTGGTGGAGACTGTGGACTAATTGTATGGGTCTGTTTGACTTAGTTGATCGATTAAATTTTATATAATACATGTTCGTAGCTCAGAGAAGCACTTGCGCAGAACGTAATCCTTTATGAACTGATCACAGTGTTGCGTAGGAGCTGCAGAGTCAACCTAATTGAAGCTATTTTTTCATACCCGTGGCAAGGTATCAGTTATTCGACGTCGGTAGTCAAATTTAGGAGATACTGATGTTAGTAAAGTTACACTAGGAGTCAGTTTAGTGGGCGAGATCTGAAAGTCCATCCAATTCTCCGTTTATAAAGGGGCATGGCTATGTTGCACGTAGAGCATCAAGCTACTCGTCGATGTATGGTAGCTATACTTATTCGCAACTATCGAGTTCAGGAAAGGAAGCTAGCATATAAAATGAACCGAAACGCTACGCAATTCATACACATCCGCTGCTTTTAGAAACTCTTTGCTTTTGTTTGAAAATGTGTATTTGCCAGCGCTACTCCACATTCGGGGCGACCTTCCGAAGTACTTTACTTGAAGACAAGTGCACTTAAAGTAGCTTCAGTTTCATTCAAAGATGTTTTCTTCTTGCCTACAACTCGTTATCTGGAACGTGTTCCGCACCTGTGTCGATCTTATTTTACGTCTTGGCATCACATCCTGTTCTATTTGAGTG